CTTCCTAGTTCTTCCCGACTCCGCAATTCATTACAGTTCATTACTCCACACTGGCAATAGTACGTAATTCGAATTGTAACCCCGCCGCTGACCCCGCCGGGCCGTGACAGGCCGCAGGCGGCGTCTCTCCGAGTTCGCTCAAGGGGTCGTCAAACTCTGTTCAAACTTTTAATCGAGGAACCGGACCGGTTTTTCACAAACCAAAACTTGTTTTTGAGATATTTGTGTCTTACCAGTAATATCAAATCAGCAGTGCGAATCGTGTTGTTACGTTCTTCAACGGCTCCCATCCTGGGGCGGCCTGAAGACTGAAACAGAACTGCGAGTCCCGCCAGCATAAATAATTATCACACGAGGTACGAACATGATATTTTTGCTATGCCTGTTTCTATCCCGCCGGTATGCCGCCATCATTCTTGTTTTGAGTGTCGTCGCCACTCTGACATCCATCACGAAAATGATCAGAGCCCTGCAAGGGGTTGCGGATCAAACAACCCCCCTCAGCTGATCTTCAAGTGACGCTCAAGGCTGTATCGTGTCTGCAAGTGCGCTGCAGATGCGCCTCAGGAGTGGTGCACTCCTTGCATGCTAGCTCAAGACCAGCAGCTCCTTTCACAACCATCTCAACCCCGATCCAAGCCCAGTGAAAGCCTTGCATGCGCAGCATTTCAAGGCGGGTGCAGCTCCGTTGCATATCTATCCCAGTCTGGTGCCCAGCTTACAAATTTTCTTCAGACATTGAACTGAGCTGTGCGACCCCTTCACTCCCACCGCCAGCCTTATTGCTGCTGTGCAAGCCTCTTTTAAGACCGCCGCATGCAGACTTTCATGTCTCGTCCAAGCAGCTTTCAGCCTTGCACCATCCATTCACCCTCACTCCAGCTCCCTTCCGGTAAGAGGAGGGACACAGCAATTTTGCTAATGATATGGCACAGCGCAGGGTCGAGCGGCCGCGGACCGTTGGCATGTCCCATGGTCACAATTCCAAATTTCCAATAAGTAAGTACAAGCTTGGTTGAAGTGTGGACCCACGCATAATAAGCCAGTTGACTGTAAGGTTCCGGAGTCTCCGGACTGCCGTAGTCATCCTCCGCCTCCGTCTACTTACGCACCCGAGTCTTGCGACATCCTGACTCTGTCGTAGTTATTTCAAATAGTCTCAGTCTATATAAACTCATGTACACTTAGGATACAGTAGCGTACTTCCCTCTTGAACAAGGAGCATTTACCTCCGTTCTCTCGTTCCTCCTCTGAGTTCCTGCTTATTTGTGTGCTTCACTCAAGCTTCACTCCGAGAGGACTCGAAGCTTCACATTGATGCCAGTGGTCAAGCTTGCCACTGAGGCCTGAGGTTCAACCTCAATTTGAGAGCAGAGTTTTCGTTTCACGAGGGGTTGTAAGAATGATGCGATGGAAATGCACAAGTTTACCATCAGCCAGCCCAAGAGCCAGCCGGTCCAAATGTGCACGCACGTGAGTTTGTTGATTGTGCCACAACACAGCTAAACATCTCTCTCTCTCTTCCCCCACCTTCGTCCCCACTCCCAGGATCTACACCGCACCGAACATGACCCGCGCATCCCTTTCTGCCCTCCCTTTCGCCCGCACCCGCACCCGCATCGGCTGACCACTGCACTATCCACCTGCCTGCCTGCTCGCTTGCCCGACCGCCTGCCCGTTGGACGGCCTACTCGCCCGACCGCTAGCCTGCCTGCTGGGCCGCCTGACCGCCCGGCCACTCGCCTGCCCGCTCGCTCGCCTTCCCGCAGCGACGCGCGCGCTCCTCCTCACGCCTGAGGAGCGCACCGCTGCCGCCGAGCGCGCGCGTGACGACTCCATCGCGCGCCTTGCTGCTGTCGCCACCTCCTGGCGCAGTCGCATCTTACCCCGCGCTCGTCGCGTTCGTCGACACGCGCGCCGGGGACGCGCAGGCGGGGTTCCCGCGCGTCGTCGCGGAGGGCGGCGGCCGCCTCGTGCTCGAGGTGCCGATGCCGAGCGCAGGCAGCGCACCGCTCGGGTACGAGCCGCGCGACCGTGACCGTGACCGCGAGCGGGGGTACGCGGCGTGTACGCGGCGTACAGCCAGCGCGACCGGTTTGGGTATGAGCGCGATAGGCACCGGGAGCGCGATGGAGACCGCGGGCGCCGCTCCCGCATGCGCTCGCGCACCACGATGCGAAGTGCGCGCGCACTGGTAGTGTGGACCCGATGGGCTACGCGTAGAGCGCGTACCCGAACAAGAAGGCGCGTGGCGACGAGTACGGTAGAGAGGTGCGTTGCGGGTTCTTTCTGCCTTTTATTCGCGGCCGCGCATATAGTCACTTGCACATGCGAATATATCCATTTTTCCCTTTCTTCCTCGCTGTGTTTGCCTCCTCCGCGCATATACCGCATACATTCATTTGCACATGTGCATATATTCATCTTTTCCTCCCTTTCTCGCTACGATTGCCTTCCCCATGCTGACCTCTGTCCGCAGTACCCCCAGGTGCCACTAGTCCTACGCGCGCAACAGCTACCCCGCCCCCGCGCACGCGGCACACACGCCCGCCGCGTCCTCCTCGCGGCACCCCGCGTCCACGGCCACCCGCACGCGCACGGACACCACCCGCACGCGCGGCGCTCGGCCGATCGGCAGCCCCCGCGCGACCGCGGCCCCGACCGCTCGCCGTCGAACGCGTCGACGACCTCGAGACGCTCCTCCTCGACCGATCGAGGGGCCGGGGCGCAGCGCCGCGGGCGCGGCGCCCGAGCGCACGGGGAGTGTCATCTTCTCCGCGGTGCAGAAGAAGGGCACGAAGGGTGCGTCTGCGTTTCGCCTCCTTCTCGCTGTGCTGACGCCGACGTCTAGACATGTTTGTGTACCCTGCGGCGCCAGTTGTGGTGGGGCAGGCCACGGCCGTCGCGGTGGGTTCGTTTTCTTTCTTCGTTCCGCCGCTGAGGCCACCCAGGGCTCGCCGTTCCCTGCGACGAATGCTGCAAACCAGCGCATTTGCCGAGAGGCACGGTCTGTGATTGGTACGCGTCCCTCCATTGCATTTCGATGCCCTCGTGCTGACGCCGGCCGCAGGTGCTGCAAGAAGATGAAACGCGTCGAGCGCCGCTGGACGCTCGAGCAGGCGTATGCGCATAGGTGCGGATGCACCGCACGGACACGCTGCCTGCGCTGTGCCGCGGGCGCGAGCCGCCGCAGGAGAGCTCGATGCGCTCGTGGGTTGCGGGCACCCCGCCATACGGCGCGCGTCACCCGCGGGCGCGAGCGCGAGCGGGACGGGCCGCGTGTGACGCCCCACGTTAACGGTATGTCGCCCGTCATTCTCTGGACCTGTCTCATGTTTCCCGTCTAGCCCGTTGACAAATTGACCTGGTTTAACTACCGTGAGTACCCTGTTTTCGGCACCTGCTTCAGTTCAAACTCGTTTACAGGCTCGTGCGTCACAGTATCACTCTCACTCTCACTCTCACTTGCTGTAACTTCTCTTGGTGCGTTTACTTCTGCTCTATTCTTGTCGTTGCTGACTGTGCATTGCTATAGCTGAATTGTACTTTCTAGTAGCTCCTCCCATTGCTGTATCGTGTATAACTCTGAATAAATTGAATTTTATTATTAATTTTATTGTGTATGATGCGAGTGGAATGTAAGTGGTGCCCACAGCTTGAGCCGCCCTATCAGCTCTCTGCAACCCTCTGCCAGCCTTGCGAGAACTGCCACCCTTGCGCCGGGCTCCAGCGGGTTTACAAGTCCCTCCAAGCCAGGGCCAGACCTGCAAGCCATGCCCACCTTGAGCCTCCTTGAATGCCGCTCAAGGCAGCGCAAACCGGCTTCGGACTTGAGCCGGCTTCAACCCGCCTTGTGCCGGTTTGGGGTTTTTGAGAGTCCGCTTTAAGGCTGGTTCCAGGTCGGCGGGGGCTTCCAGCGGCTTGAGCGCCTTGTAGGGCGGGTGCAACAGGTTGATAAGCCTAGGACATTTTTCGTGATGTCATTGCACATTGCACGCCCTGACGTCGGCAAAGAATCAGACGGATTGGATCGTCGGCAGTAAATGTCGATGTGATAATAACAGTGCAGGATCTTTCGCTCAATGCGAGGGAAGGTTGGCAGTCAATTTGGCTAATTCCATGCCGGCGCTGGTCGGAAACTTGCCCTTATGTAATATGCCTCGGGATGACGACTGAATTCTTCCAGTATGGTGTTGTCGATAACGCTCCTATACAGCTACGACGGACCGGGCAGCTCGACGCTGAGAATCACTGCAATCACACCCTTGTTCACGGAAGCTAGTTAACACAGCTGCATTTTGGCGCGTCATCCGGCACTGAAACTTTGTTTTGGAGTGTACAACAAATAAGACGCATCCAGATTATGCCTCCTGCGAGAAAGAGCAGAACGGAGCAAGACAGTACCTCTTTCAGCAGCCTCAATTCCAATGTCAAAGTCTTGGAATTGTTTGCTCTGCTGTTGTGATGAACTGTGTAGTCCAGTATGGTTTGTAATTTGTTACCCGCAGATTGACCGTACGCTCCTGGTCGAGAAATTTGCGTACAAATTCACTTAAAAATCCATCCCGTGTTCATCCGCTCTTTCCCTCCCCAGGTTGACATTACTGCAGAGTGCTGACTAATTTATTTTTATGCTCCAGTCACCTTGGCTTTTGATAGATGTTCTGATAGCGAATAGCTCGTCAAGTTGAGGGGTTGGAGTCCAAAACGAAAGCGTGAGAGGCTTGTGCGCGCTGGGATACTTTTGAGAACACAGTGTGGACCATGCTGTGTATAAAATTACTACAACTACTACTACATCTGCCTGTCCTCATATCGTATCGCCACTATTTGCCTTGGCGTCACGGCAAAATTTTTCGCGGCCAACAACATTAACTATGGAGAGATCTATCATAAGGAGACGTCGAACGAGAATGCCGACATTTGATTTTGATCGATTTGATCGCCGACAGGCAGCAGCGACCGGATGAGATACACTCACTGAGTGATCGCAATCAAAAGGGCCTAACTGGGAATTGAACCCAGGACCTCCTCAATAGTTGTCAAACCCTAACAAGAAATCATACCACTAGACCATCAGGCCAATTATCACCTCTTCGGGCTGGCCACTAACTCCCACCGGTTCCTGATATTCACGCCCTACTTTGTATATTTGTATATCTTGTTTGGGGCTGGGATCCATCAGTCTCGGCGATCACACAGCAACAAGCTTTTACCCGCGAATCCGATGCCAGGGCACGTCTGTATGCTGCAAAAGGCCGGGCAATCGCGTGCATTGGAATTGGGTTGATAACATTATTTGTCATCAATGTTCTATTCATGATCGACACGGAGCTGTCTATAGTCCGGAACGAAGGACTCCAACAAGATCAGGACGGCATCTGGACTTTCGGACAGACCCTGGCGCTCATGCTTCTTGTTCTTCCACTGCGGGATGCTGTTGAGACGATCCTTCAACGGAGAAGGAAGGTGCTCAATCGGCGGGATGCTGAGGACAACCTGAAGCGAGGACAACCCACAGCGGCATGGGATGCTGTTCAGGAATGGATAAAGCTCCTTGGTGAAAAGAAAGGTGCTGACCTATTTTGAATGGTCTTCGATACATTGACCTGAATTCAAGTGGAAATCCACCAGCTCTGGCTTCACCGTGCATCAATCGAGGGGTACTCGAAGGTGGTCAAACAACTCGTCGAGCATGGGGCGGATGTCAATGCTATCTGTATGTTCATGGCTCGATTTCTAAGTCATCTCCATTCTCAGCTGGACTACAGACGAGAACAACAGAACTGCACTGCATATAGCTTCCATCAATGGCAACATCGAGACTGTGAAACTCCTCATTGAGTGTGGCGCGGATGTCAACACTATTGGTATATCCTAACAGTTTCCAACTCCCCTCCATTTTCAACTGGACCACAGACAAGAACAATCAAACTGTCATGCATATGGCGTCGATCAAGGGCCACGTTAAGGTTGTGAAATTCCTCCTCGACCACGACGCGGACGTCAAGAAGGTCGGTATGTCCCCGGGCTGATTTACAAGTCCACTTTCAACTGGGAGGTAGATAAGGACAACCGAACTGCCCTGCATATGGCTTCGATCAACGGCCACATCCAGGTTGTGATCTGGCTCCTCGAGTACAGTGCGGATGTCAATGCTATCAGTATGTCCCCGCTGACTTCAAAGTCACTTGCATTCACATCTCGACAATAGGCTCTTACAACCAAACTGCCCTGCATATGGCATCTACCAAGGGGTATATTGAGGTTGTGGAATTCCTCGTTGAGCACGGCGCGTCTGTCAATGCTATTGGTATGTTTCCACTGATTTACAAGTCCGCTTCATTCCCAACTGGGGGGTAGATACGGACCATCAAACTGCACTGCATATAGCTTTGCAGAGGGACCACACCGAACTTGTAAAATTCCTCATCAAGAGCGGCGTGGATGTCAACACATTCGGTATGTTTCCACCGATTTTCAAGTCCGTTTCATTCTCGACTTCACGGTAGATGGGGAAAATCGAACTGCTCTGTATATGGCCTCGAGGGGCAAAAATGAGGTTGTGAAACTCCTCCGAGCGCGGCGCGGATGTCAAAGCAATCAGTATGTCCACGCTGATTTCCAAGTCTGCTTCATCCTGGACTGCAAGGTAGATGAGGACAATGAAACTGCCCTGCATATGGCTTCACGCCACGGCTACATCGACTGTGTGAGATTCCTACTCGAGCACGACGCGGATGTCAATGCTAGCAGTATGTCGCCTCCAATGTCAAAGTTGCCTCCATTCACATTCTTGAACATAGGCAACAAGAACCGAACTGGCCAAACTGCCCTGCATCAGGCCTCCATTGAGGGCCATAGCAAAGTTGTGGAACTCCTCCTCGAGCACGGCGCGCATGTCAATGCTATCGGTGTGTCCCCGCTAATTTCACAAATCGCCTCCATTCACATCTCGACGACAGACACTCACAAACAAACTGCCCTGCATATGGCTTGCAGTGATGTCCCCGACGATATCCGTTTTACGAAGGTAGACCAAGACAACAGAGTTGCTCTTTATGAGGGTTTCCTCAACTTCCGCATCACGGTTGTAAAAGTACTCCTCAAGCACGGCGTGGATGTCGACGTCATCGGTATGTTTCCACCCAATTTCCACCCATTTCCAAGTCCGTTTCATTCTCGATTGCAAGGTAGATGAGAAAGGCCAAACTGCTCTGCATATGGCTTCGGAGAGGGACATGATTGGGGTCGTGAGACTTCTCCTCGTGTGCGACGTGGATGTCAACGCGAGCAGTATGTCCCTCTGATTTCCGAGTCCGCTCTATTCTCAAAATGAAGGCAGCCAATGGCGGAAACACATCCCTGCACCTGGCTTCGGTCTGGGGCCACACCAAGGTTGCAAAACTCCTACTCGAGCACACAGCAGATGCGAATGTTATTGGTATGTTCTCGCTGATTTCAACAGTCACCTTCACTTCCATCTCAACGACAGGCCCAGCCGGAAGCACTCCCCTGCATATGGCTTCGATGAATGGCCGCACTGAGGTCGTGAAATCCCTCCTTGAGCACAGTGCGGATGTACATGCTATCGGTATGTCCCCGCCGATTTCCTAATCCGCTCCATTCTCAAAATGACGACAGGTCGTGACAACAGCACTGCCCTGCATCAGGCTTTGAGGTCCGATGGCAACATCGAGGTTGTGGAACTCCTCCTCGAGCGTGGCATGAATGTTAATGCTATCAGTATGTGTCGGCTTCTTTCTAGCCCGGTTCCTTCTCAACTGCAAGGTAGATCGGTACAACAAAACCGCACTGCATTACGCGTTGGAAAGTGACTGCAGAAGCCGCACGGGCATTGTGAAACTCCTCGTCAAGTATGGTGCAGATGACAAGGCTCTCGGTATGTCTGTGGGATAATTCCCAAGCCCGCACCTAATGTGCCCCCTAATCCCCTCTAGTTAGAGGGCGTACCTGGGGGGGGTACGCCCTCTAACTAGAGGGGATTAGACGGGTTGCCTGTGCTTTCTTATCATCGCTTATTATGCTGTCCACTAACTGTCCTCAGTGCCTGTCGCTATCTCTAACACCTACTGGCTGTCCTCAGCTGTCGGTTGTCGACACTGACAGACACCTGACCATTGTACCAACACCCCGCCCACTGTCCCGACACCCCGCCCACCGTTGATGCTTCCTTATATCCTGCAAGACTGTGTCCACTAACTGTCCTCAGTACCTGTCGCTATCTCTAACAGCTACTAGCTGTCATCGGCTGTCAGTTGTTGACACTGACAGACACCTGACCATTGTACCGACACCCCGCCCATTGTCCCGACATCCTGATGGCGCATCAAAAGAAAATGATGCCATCATCTTCCCATCAAATACACCTCCTTGAACATCGTATCAACACCCCGCCCATCGTCCCGACGTTCCCAACATTGATGGCGCATCAAAAGATCAAAAAGTCTCAGTTTTCTATTGTGATCTCACCTATATAATCAGAATTTCAATAGCTGCGTTATTTAATAAGATATAGAGGATTGATCTTTTTGATCGGAGATCAAAAAATCAAAAAAGCTCACAATCTCATTCTAACTACATGTGTACTAACAAAAATGCAATAGCTTTGCTCGAGTGTTGTATCCACTAAGATCTGAATTGGGTCCACTAACTTCACTACTGGAAGTTAGTGGACCACATATATATATCCATTCACTTGTTCTTAACTGACAACATGTAATAACTTGACCAATATTAAATCATTCCTTGTGATCTATAGACTAACGAAAATGCAATAGCCTTGCTCCCTGTTGAGACACAGTGTTGTATCCACTAAGATCTGAATTGGGTCCACTAACTTCACTAAGTAGTGAAGTTAGTGGACCACATATATATATCCACTAAATTGTTCTTAACTGGCAACATGTAATAACTTGACCAATATTAAATCATTTTTTGTGATCTATAGACTAACGAAAATGCAATAGCCTTGCTCCCTGTTGAGACACAGTGTTGTATCCACTAAGATCTGAATTGGTCCACTAACTTCAGTAGTCCACTAACTTCACTACTGAAGTTAGTGGACCAAATACATATATCCACTAAATTGTTCTTAACTGACAACATGTAATAGCTTGACCAATATTGAACATTCCTTGTCATCTATAGACTAACGAAAATGCAATAGCCTTGCTCCCTTCTTGAAACACAGTGTTGTATCCACTGAGATCTGAACTGGTCCACTAACTTCAGTAGTGAAGTTAGTGGACCAAATACATATATCCACTAAATTGTTCTTAACTGACAACTTGTAATAACTTGACCAATATTGAATTATTCCTTGTCATCTATAGACTAATGAAAATGCAATCACTTTGCTCCCTGTTGAGACAGAGTGTTGTATCCACTAAGATCTGAACTGGTCCACTAACTTGATCACTGAGCCATGAAGTTAGTGGACCAACTAAATTGTTCTTAACTGATAACATGTAATAACTTGACCATTATTGAATCATTCCTTGTGATCTATAGACTAATGAAAATGCAATAGCTTTGCTCCCGGTTGAGACAGAGTGTTGTATCCAGTAAGATCTGAATTGGTCCACTAACTTCAGTAGTGAAGTTAGTGGACCAAGTACATATATCCACTAAATTGTTCTTAACTGACAACATATAATAACTTGACCACTATTCAATCATTCCTTGTGGTCTATAAACTAATAAAAATGCAATAGCTTTGCTCCCTGCTAGGACACAGTGTTGTATCCACTAAAATCCAAATTTGGTCCACTAACTTCGCATCTACTGAAATGGTCATGTGCCTTAATCACATGACCAATCAACCACTCCACCCATGGCCAAAAAAGGAAAATTTGTAGATCATGCATCATATAGCTTACAATTCAGTGGTTTACAAGGTTGTAAAAAATCAATTGTAGTCCTTGTAATCTATAGACTAACAAAAATGCAATAGCTTTGCTCTCTGTTGAGACACAGTAATGTATCCACTAAGAGGTCCACTAACTTCGCACCTAATGAAATGGTCATATGCCTTAATCACATGACCAATCAACCACTCCG